GCACTGCGCCTGCGCGCTCGGCATGCTCCTGGAAGGCACCTTGGCCACCTGCACAAGGGGCGGGATGGCCCCTGCGAATTTGGTGAGTCCGGCTTGCGCCCCGCAGTATGTCCCTCCCTCCCCCCCGCACCACGATGGACAGCGCTGTGGAACCCTCAGTTTTCCCTTCAGGATCAGTTTTCCTGCCCGGCAGGGGCTCAGGGAGACGGGCAGGAACTCACATCCTGCGCCCTCCCTTACCAAGCTCATAGCATGTTTTCCTCCACAAGACGGGGAGTTTGGGAGTGGCAGGTCCTCACTGTTTGGATGGAGAGGGAGGGGACGTGAAGATGCCAGAGGAGGAGGAGAGGGCCTCCAGACCAGGACTCGGGAACTACTCCGGGGAAGTAAGACCTTTGGAGACTTAGGCTCTGAAAAGATTATAGTGCCGGCAGGGGCAGACCCAGGTTCTGTGGAGCTAAGGCTTAATACAATTTGGAAGGTCCCACTTTAAAGGAATTGAAAATTAATCATTGCTTGGAACCTAGAAACTTAAAGTTCATTAACATTACAATACAGTTGTTTATGGGTGCGCTTGCTGCTCACCCTCTCTATGTGATTTTTAAAAATCAAACAAAAATAGATCAAAACATTAGTAAAGGAATACCCAGAGATGCACTCTGCCAGCCCACTAGATTTTGGAGAACTGCCCCTTTCTACGCTGCCTGGAGGGGCCGGTGGAGAGTCTAGGTTGAGTCCCCAGGAGTCCAGCTTGGGGTTCTGGCTAAATGCCTAGATCAGTGTAGTGACTTCAGCTCCAACAAGGAAGCTTTGGGGGTGGGGGAATGCCTCAACAGGCATTGGGAAGTTTCTATTATTATTTTCCCAAAAGCATTCCAAGTAGATGCATGTCCAGGAGACCAGTGTTGGAGATGGGGCGGGAAGGCTCCTGTCCCAGGAACATGAAAACAATGTTTCATGCGCCTCCTTGGAGCACAGGAAAGTCACCGATGGCTCTTCCTAGTTGGGGCTCCCACCAGGAAGAGCTGAATGACCTTGGGCTGGTCCCTTCTCCTCCGTGGGCCGTGTCAGCCCCTATGGAGCCACTGTTGAGGTCCCTTTGTTTCTGCCCTGTGGCCTTTAAACAGTCCTGTCTCCTTCCTTTTTCTAGTTCCTGTCACTCGTTTTGTACAATCTGCTTCCTCAGCAGTTAATTCACAGGCAGTTCTCTTTGTCTCCAGACAGGTAACACTTCCACTCCACATGCAGGAGACATAAATGCTGACCAGGTCCCCGGAATCTACTGGTGTGGAAGGTCTCAGATGATTTTTCCCCGGAGTGGTATTCTGTTCCCAAGAGAGAGAGTGATGCCTTGAAAAATATTTAAGATGTTTAGACCAAATCTACTATTATGGGGAGGAGCCAGCGACAGGGGGTGGGGAGCAGGGGACCGGCCAGGGGGACCAGTAAAGCCTGACCGGCTCCCAGGTCCCCTACAACCCTGTTCTGTGCTCTTTCAGGACAGGACTTGATTGTGTGACGTTAGGCAGGTGGTGGTTGCCATGGTTACCAGCGGGAGACCAGATGGCAGATGGAAACCCCATACCCCTAATTCATTGAAAATTACCAAATGACAAGTAAATGTGACAGCCCCTCCACTCTGATCTATGGGCCCTGAGGCGCACCTCAGGCACCAGCCCCGGGTGAAAAGATGTTCGTGGAGCCAAATGGAGGCAATACAGAAGCTGCTTTTAATGATCCCATTAGTGACAGGCATCAGGCCTCCCCGGAATTTACTTCTCCTTTCCCACCAGTAATTGTCAGCCGCTACAGACCCTGCACTGTCTTCCCGTCGTCGCTTCTTGTCCTGAGATGTATGTGTGGCCCCTGGCCCTGTGTCCTGGTGGGGCCTGAAGGTGTGGACGGGCTCTTTCCCAGCTAGACCAAGGCAGGGCGGCACCTCACTCTGTGCTGCCTAAAGCCACCCTCTATTCAGAGGACGCACTTTTAACAATGCCCCAGGGGACCCTGGTTGAAGGGAAGCAGGCGCAGTCACAGCAGCAGCTGTTCTGCCTCAAAACTGGCAATAAAGCCACCCCTCCCCAGCTCCTCACCTACCCCTCACTATGCGAGCTTCCCACTTTAACAGAGCGAAGTCTCTGTAAATATGTATTAAGTTCTGCACAGCGGGGGAGGTGTTCTTACACATGCCTCTCAGGAGCATTTGGAAACAGTTTTCAGGCTGAAATGCTTCCCTTTCCTCCTGTGCTATGAAATGCCCCCAAATGCCTGATAATGAGAGTCATCCTCTGATTAACACACATTTATTGAAGACCCACTGTGCTCCCACCTCTGAATAATTATTTACTGTCGGAATATATTCAGTAAGTATATTTGCATCTCATCTTCTTACTCAGTTTTTACAGCTGTCCTGGCCAGGACTCTCTCCCATTTAATAGAAGGGAAAGCTGAGGCGCAGATTGGCTACTCTTGAGTCTTGAGGGTTTCTCAGTCCGGATCTACCCTCCTGTTTCCCCCCCAAGGCTTGTTGCCGGTTCCTCTGTTTAGTACTGGGTGACGGCTCCTGAGAGGAACAGGAGTAGCATCACAGAAGAGAAAGCCTATGAGAGGAGCCTTGAAGGATGAGTAGAAAATTCCCAGGTTGAGGGGTGAGGGAGGCGGAGGTGCTGGGTGGGCAAAACGGTACCAAGGGACCATTAGTACCGTTTTGCCCACCCAGAGCTTAGGGCAGGGTCATTGCCAGCCTGAATGCCAGGCTGAGGGGTGAAGCTTTGTTCTATACAGAATGATTGGTTCTGTTTCTCAGCTGTGAGGAGGCGTGGCATTCTGTGGTTATTGCTGTCGTTACGTTAAAAGGCTGTGTTGTTCCTTCCAGGTAGGCGCTCTGATTAATTGCTAACATTGGGCGGGGGGTGGGGGTCCTGTTTCGAAAGCTAAACTAGATAGGAGCAGGGTCCTGTGCCAGCGCCCCACCAGGACACTAAGCCTCTGAAGCTTCAATAAGCTCTTAAGATCCCGAGTCTTGGAAAATCTACCTCGGTTGGAAGTCCAGCTCCACTTAGACAGATGTCTTTTCGAGGCGAGTGTTACCAGGTAACCAGGAGAGGCAGCGAATGCCACTTTGTGAGAGGGACAAAGAAGGGGGCCTCGTGCTCAAAAGCCTTTCAAGCACAGGGAGGGGCTTGGGGCGCAGGCTGAGGGGAGCGGGATTAAGCTGTTCCTCATTCTACGTGGTGAGGTGACTATTAGCATAAATTACAAGGGCTGTTCTGCGGGTTGATCATTAAACTCTTGGTGGGGCGCTTTTTCCTGCAGGCAGAGGGGGTCCTGGGGGATGACTTTTGATATTCTTTCTTTCCCCAGCACCATTAACTTGAAAGAAATCCCAGAGGCATTGGGAAGATCTTTCATTCCGGCCATCAAGGACACAGCTGATGGGGTGGGGGGACGGACCACCACACGCTATAATAATAACATCGGTCCCTTTCATTTGCACAGATCCCACAGTTAGTGACACAGTCACATTCATTCTCTCCCTTCACCTGGAGGACGAGGGCCAAAGTCATCGTCTTCATGTGCAGATAAGGAGGAAACGGTTCGCAACTCGCCGGAGCGCCTGTGCTGGGCATTTGAGATTCCCTCGGTACCATTTTGCCCACCCACTGCTGCCTGTGTTGGGGCACACCTGGGTGACTATTTCCTGTTACCTGGTGGGTAGATTTGTGCTGTCCCAGCATTTCCAGGGCTGTTGCCGGCACGAACAGAAGGAAACAAGTATTGAGCAAGGAAGGGCTAGAAAGACAAAGCCAGCACGTTCAGACTGGACCGGCCAGGCACCATCCTCCCTCTTGAAAGCCATCTGACTCTTGTCAAAGGTAGTAGACAGGAAAGCCTGGCTCTTCCAGGAGTGTGGCAGCTCTGGCAGCGGTGAGGCTTTGCCCCGGGCTCGCCCGAGGAAGGGCCGTGGCCTCTGGGGCCTCCGGAGAGGACTCTCCGATAGGTCTGCTCACCAGAGCCCATTAGAGCAGTGATGGCGAACCTATGACACACGCGAACTCATTTTTTTGGTTGATTTTTCTTTGTTAAGTGGCATTTAAATATATAAAATAAATATTAAAAATATAAATCTTTGTTTTACTATGGTTGCAAATATCAAAAAATTTCTGTATGTGACACGGCACCAGAGTTAAGTTAGGGTTTTTCAAAATGCTGACACACCGAGCTCAAAAGGTTCGCCATCACTGCATTAGAAGCATCTTTGAGGAGACCATCCTGGGGGAAGCACCACCTGCCTCGTCCTCGGGTCCCTCCATGGAAGCCTTCACAGTTTGCAAGGAGTCTTGTAATTGTTCCTCACAACAGCATATAGGGATGGGAGGGAGAATGGACCCCGGTGCCCATTTTAAAGAAGAAGAAACTGAGGCCAAGTCATAATACGGGGATGTGGCTGAGACAGGATTTGAACTTGGTAACCTCCTGCCAGTGGTAGTCATGAGCTTGAGTATCCCAGTGCCACACTTGAATGAGCCCTTGGGGACAGAAGTACTGGGGATGACCTGCTAGTGTTAAGGACACATCACCCATTCAATGGTATCTTCACAAGAGCTGCTCCCCTGGGGCGATGCCCAGAGGGTTTTATTACTGGGCAGAAGAGTCAGCAGAGCAGTGTATCCTTGGACAGGCCTGCTGGCAGGGGAAGTCCTTGGCTGGTGTCTGGGAACTTGGATTTCAGGAGGATGCCGAGCTGAGAGCAGTGCTCACTGTGCTTAAACTGAACGAAGGGGACCTGCTCCCCTGCTCTCCTCCTGGGAGCCTGGAACTTCAGTGTAGAGTAGGCAGAGGGACCCCAGGTGGCCGGCCCCCACTAAGGCACTGAGTGTCGAGTGAGCTTTCCTGGTAGATGGCATTTTGCATGTTGTCACAATTTGCTGCTGGGGAATTAAGCGTGTCCTGTGACTCCACTCTGAGGGGCTCTTGGAAGCTTGCACCTGGTTTTTCCAGTCTTTGCCCCGTGTGCCATTTCCCTTTGCTGACTTGCTTTGTCTCCGTTCGCTGCAATCACAGCTGTAAGTAAAACCATGCTGAGTCCTGTGGTCTTCCTAGCAAATCGTCGAGCGAAGGGGTTGTCTTGGGGACCCCCAACATAATCCCTAAGGTATTTTCTTGTACTGAAATGGGGTCCAAACAAAATAACGAGTGTTTCACTTTAAAAATCAGTGTGGAGCCCAGCGGTGTGTCTCACTGGTTGAGCGTCGTCCTATGAACCAGGAGGTCACGGTTGTGGGCTCGATCCCCAGTAGGGGGCGTGCAGGAGGCAGCCCATCAGTGATTCTCTCTCATCATTGATGTTTCTCTCTCTCTTTCTCCCTCTCCCTTCTGCTCTGAAATCAATAAAGGATATATATTTTAAAAAAATAAAAATCAGTGTTGGGTTAATAGATTCAGTCCCTGTTCTTCCAGACCCTTCACCTGAGCCTTGGTTTTCTCATTTGTAAAATAGGGATAAATGCAGGGCTGGTGTGAGGGTGAAAAGAGTAGTGTACCTGGACGTGTCATGTAAGGAGAGGGCAGAGCTTGGAGCCAGACCCCCAGGCTCATAGCCTCGCCCCGCCTTTTATGGCTGGGTGACCCTGCCTAGCTCCCCCGGCTGGCAGCTGCTGAGAGCTGGAAAGGTCAAATGGGTTAATAATCCCCGTAAGCAGAAGAGTGCCTAGCACACAGCAAGCTCAGTGTTAGCTGGTGGCATTGTTGCCATTGTTACGATGATGATGATGATGATGATGATGACGACTGATTGTAAAGAGCTGTTATGGATAAAAATGTTTTCAATGTAAAATCAGACAGGTTAACATTAAAAACAGATTACTATGACAAAGAGACACGAGGACAATTTTCTAGCTAACAGGACTGTCCTCTGACTTGGTTATGGCAGCGGTTACACAACTGTAGGCATCTATCTGAACTTAGACCTGTACGCCAGAAAGAAGGCGTGTGCTGTGTGTAAATTTAAAAATAAGATTTTGAATGTCACTTTATCATCAAAAGCTCTTTTGTAAAAGAAATGGTATTTTCTGCCATGTGAAATCAGTGGCAAAGACAGCCTCTCCTAATTGCAGTTATTGAAAGAGAGGGAGAGGGGAAATGCAAGGAGAAAAATAGGAAATGTGATTTACTGGTTTATTCATTTAGACCTGAAAGGGATTGATGAAATCTCATTTAAAATTTATGACTTTACATGAACGAAAGTAAAGCATGTTGATTGAGTGTCCCTTTGGAATCCATTGAGGGCTTTGGAGTAAGACGTGATTCTGGTTGTTCCCACAGCGAGCCGTTCCAGGACCGGTTTGGGCTCCGGGGGGAGGCGATGCTGGCAGGAGGACGTGAATACATCAGACTCTCTTTGTCATCTGTGCAGATGGGGCTCCTGCCATAGAGCAGGGGCATTGTGGTTCTTTGTGGCAGCCAGGCAGGTGGCTGGGCGCATCGGGCAGTGTTAGAAGCCTAGGACCTTGGTTCATCGAAGGGACGTTGACCACACTCAGGGACGTGGGTAGAGGGCAGTGAGATGGCCACAACTGAAGGCGTGAGCTGATCAGACAGACTGAGGAGGAAGAAGGGCAGTGTCTGTATTCAATTCACTGGAGACCCTTGGGGCAGCCAGGGGGCTGTAGGGTTCAGAGGGCAGCATGGGATAAACAGGCGAGAGTTACAGGGACGTGGGTTTTTAGTTCCAATGAGGACAAGCTTTCTGACCAGCAGAGCCCTTCAAGGATAGAAGGGCCTGGCTCCATAGGTAGTGAGCTCTCTGTCACTGGAGCCATGCAATTGGAGATTAAATGAGCACATCACAGATGGTCAGGCACAGGATCTTGGGGAGAGTTAGGACCTCTAGTTTTGATATTCTGTGTCTCTAAGATAGTTCCCCAGAGTTTTTTGGGCACCAGCTTGACGGGTGTGCTTCATAGTCTGTCTGAAGGAGCCAGACCAGTCTCATTTCGGCATCCTTTCACTCCTCCCTGTAGAGAGCGCCTGGGAAGGCACATGGGCATTTATTTAATTATTGTCAGCTGAATCCAGTGGCGTTGGCAGAGCCATGTCCTGGAAACACACCTTGCCAGAGGCAGGAGTGTTGTCAGCCTGACCTTCAGCCCAGAGCCAGGGGGTGGGTTTCGTTCTCTAAATCCAGCCAAGCACCAGGAATGAATGACTCAGGCCGACCCAAGAATGCACATAATCTCCTTTGTCTTGACCTTTAGTAAAACTTCCTGGTTTTTGCTGTATAAAATAAACGCGCTGTATTGGCTCTGGGTCCCTGTCTCTCCATCAGAGGACAGTGGTCCCATCCAGTCCCAGCTTTACCTACTGTATTTGTGTCTGTCTCTTTCATTTTCTCAATCCCCCATCGCCCCTACTCAGGAACTGGACCCCTCTCTAGCCGCGCTGGACACAGAAAAGAGAGAAATATTTATACCTCCCCTCTCCCCTTTTCTCCCAGCCTTTTGTCTCCCTCCCTTTGTTCTTCTTTTCCTCTCTAAGGCTGGCTTGCCAGGCTGTCCTTGAGTCATCAGGAAAGCCCCAGGAGTCTGTACACTCTGCAGTTGGAGAATGAATGTGTTTGCTCTTTTATTTGTCACGTGTTTCTTCATCCAGTCATCTGTTTACCAGACCTGCGTCTGACCCCCGCTTGCATATTGTGTTAACTGAAACCATCACTTTCACACTCATCACATAGTAAGATCAGCTCAACAACCCGTGATCAGCAAAACCCAGCAGGGAGCATTTTCCCGCCAGGGACCCACACTTCACCTTGCCCAGGACACCGTGGGGCCAGACGCGAGGGTGGGCCAAGCTTGCCTTCTTGTGCAGGTGAGACAGGTGGAGCACCTGGACTACGCGGCAGGCTATGATTCAGGAGGTCAACGCGGTGCAGAGCCTCTGGTCCTGGACTAGAACACGTGCCCTCTCAGCCCTGCATGATGGGAGCCGTCCGCCTCTGGAGCGAGGGGGTGTATGCCATGCAGAGGCAGGAACAGTGAGGGGCCGATGGAGAGCCTGAAGGCCAAGGCCCACGGACTTGATTCTTTTAGTCCCAGTGTGATAGAGCAGATGCCAGGCACAGAGAGGAGGGCAGAGTATGGAGTATGAGTTAAGAATTTCTAACTCGGATACCCACATACTCTCTGGTGCCCTCCAGTGAACCCACACCCTCCCTCTCCTTTCTGTAATGTTCCAGCAGCCTCTACAGGGCTTCCAGGCCAGCAGTTCTGCCACTGGGGATGGGGAGGTGTGCGGGGTGGGGGAGGCCAAGTGGAGTCTGTGAGTCTGTGATATGCAAATGAGCGTCTTGAATGGCCCGCAGGGGGTCTCAGCTCCAGGGTGGATGCAGCTGTCTTAGGTGGCATTATTCTTTGAGGGCCCTCCATGTGGAAAGAGAAAAGCCCATCTGTTAGTAGACTCGGCTGTTGGTGAAGCAACACCAGCCCCTCCCGGAGCCCAACGCCCTGTCGTGCAATTGAGCCAAAAGCAGATGGCACCCAGGGCCGGGGAGGGAGTGTGAGACCGAGCTCTGCCGCAGACAGGCTGGTAGCTTTAGGAAGCTGCCTTTTCTCTCTGAATCCGTTTTCCTGCCGGTGGGGCAAAGACAATGGGTGACGAAGCACGCAGGCATCCCTCTGGGCCTAAGGCAGACTCTCCTCCATGATGCCTTGCCTGTGAGTTTGTTCTGTGTGTGTGGAGAGCTTTGGTCTGCCACTGCCCTCCCCCACGTTAGACGGCTCCGCAGGCTCGCCACAGTCAGGGGATTCCGGAAGCGGGGTCCTGGGTCCTGGCAAGGTAAAGGTTGTGTTCCCTTGTCTTCTTCCAGCTCCTGTGGTTGTGTTCCCTTGTCTTCTTCCAGCTCCTGTGGTCGTCGTCCCACCCCGAAGTGTTCACAACATCACTGGGGCCCAGCCCCAGTCATCACGTGGAGGAAGGTATTTATATATAAGGACTCGTGCGCTAACACGCGCGTGTGTGCATGTGTGTGTGTGTGTGTGTGTGTGTGTGTTTGGGGGGCAGTTAAAGGCTGTGTGTGTGTTTGGGGGGCAGTTAAAGGCTTTTTATCCTTTTAAGTGTGTTTGTGTACATATGTGGATCAGAGAACTTTAAAAGGACACACGTGTCAGAGGTGACACGCGAACTCATTTTTTTGGTTGATTTTTCTATGTTAAATGGCATTTAAATATATAAAATAAATTGTTAAATGGCATTTAAATATATAAAATAAATATCAAAAATATAAATCTTTGTTTTACTATGGTTGCAAATATCAAAAAATTTCTATATGTGACACGGCACCAGAGTTAAGTTAGGGTTTTTCAAAATGCTGACACGCCGAGCTCAAAAGGTTCGCCATCACTGTTATATACCATTCCTCTGCCTCCAGGTTTATGCCTCAAAACCTTTACCCTAAGCTCTCCCCAGAGAAGAGCAGTTGCCATCCTTCCTGTGGCATTTGCTCTCTTGGCCACTCAGCTGTCGAGAAAGTTCTGCTGTTTACCTAGCCTAGATCAGCTGGAATGAAGTAGGAGACTACGTCACTGGATTGGGTTTTAGAAAGACTTGGCTGGTGGCAGATAGTCCCGTCCTGTTCCAAAACTAGATCTTCCTGCAGATCAATTTTTGAGCGACTAGCACGGATTCCAGCACAGGTTGTGCCTCGTCTCAACAGCCCTGAGAAGGGCCGTGGACCTCTGACCTGCCTCTGCAAGATGGAGCTGGTGTCCGCATCTTTGCTGTCCACCAGAGTGTGCTGGCTATATATGCATTTGGGTTTTTAAAGTGACTGACGAACATTTTAACAGGAACAGGAGCTGTCAGGGTTTCGGCCTTCCCGTCAGTGGGAAGATGAAGACAGTGAGGATGTCTATGGGAGGTAGTTTCCAGAAATGCTTTCTCTGAACCATTCCTGGCTTTCCTGTCCTCTTCAGGTCACACAGTCTCCTGAGGGCACCCAGGCGCTCAAGGACCTGCCTGGGGACCATGTCAATATCGCTGTCCAGGTACGAGGGGGTCCTTCTGACCACGAGGCCACAGCCTGGATTTTGGTGAGTAGCTCATTCGTCTCGGATTACTGGCTACTATTGACTGGCCCTTGTAAAGCACCCTTTATATTTCTATAACATGTTACATGTTTCAAAGCTGGTCTTATCCAGTTTTCATTGGCCCCCGGAAGAACTCTGAGGAAAGCAGGGCCGGCAATATAACCCCTGCGAGCAGGTGATTTTCTGTGGTTGGCAGAATTATGGCCCCGGAAAGAGGTCCCTGTCCTAGTCCTTGGAGCTTATGGGTGGTTTCTGTTATGTGGCAAGAGGAGAGTAAGGTTGCAGATGGAATTAAGGTTGCTAATTACCTGACTTTAATAAGGAAGTTACCCCACATTATCTGGGCGGGCCCAATGAAATCACAAGAGTCCCTTAAAAGTGGAAGAGGGAGGCAGGAGAGAGGCAGCCAGAGATGGCAGTGTGAGAAAGACATGACTCGCCATTGCTGGCTTTGAAGATGGAAGGAAGGGGCCACAAGCCAAGGAATGCAGGCAGCCTGTAGACTGGAAAAGTATGTCCCCCATACATTTCTAGGGTCTCTAGAAAGAAAGCAGCCCTGCCAACACCCTTGATTGTAGCCCACTGAGACACATTTGGACTCCAACCTCAGGAAGTGTAGATAATAAGTTTGTGTTGCTTTAAGCCACTAGGTATGTGGTAATTTGTTACAGCAGCCATAGGAAACTAATACATTTGCCTGAGACCACATAGCTGATAAGGAGGGAAGGCTTACTTTCACATCTTCTCATAGCTTTTCTGTGGCACTTGCAGCAGTTTTGCTAAGATGAGGAAATGCCAGGTGTTTGAAGGAGCAATGAAGTGATGAGACAGGGGTTCATGTTGGCCAAGTCGCTCTAACTCTTTGAGCTTCAGTGTCCACAACTGTAAAAAGAGGGCTTTGGACTGGACAGCATCCAAGGGCCGCTTGATTCTAACAATCTGTGACTTACCTGCGAGGCTCCTGTAGCATGAGGGTAATGATGCTCCCCCTTCACCAATGATCACGTGTGTTCAAAATGAGATGGTGCGCATAAATCCTCCCCAGTCTGTAGAGTGACTCACAATTGATAGAGGTTGTTCTAACAAGAGAAAGCAAGAGAGGGGAGCACTGCTGGGGATCTGCTCTGCACGGGCCGGGGAACAGGGTGACCTCGGGGGTGTCTTCCCCACTTCGCCACCATCTCTACGAGGTTTGGCGAATCCTCAGTGTCCAGCTCAGAAACTCAGAATGCAGTTGGGTCCGAGGCTTTTCCAAATCTGAGCCTCGGTGTCCACAATTGTAAAAAGAGGGCTTTAGGCCAGACAGCTTCCAGGGCCTGTGACCCAAACATTCTCAAACTTTATTACAAAAAAGTGTGGAGGAAAGGTTTTCTCTGGGGTTAATTTGTGAAGGCTGCCTCCATTGGGAGCCCCTGTGGGCCATTCCTTGGGCACTAGATTTTTGTTCTTTTCATTTGCAATATTTTCCTTATAATCTATACCAGTGGTTCTCAACCTTCCTAATGCCGCGACCCTTTCATACAGTTCCTCATGTTGTGGTGACCCCCAATTTCATTGTTACAAATTGAACATAATTAAAGCATAGTGATTAATCACAAAAACAATATGTAATTATATATGTGTTTTCCGATGGTCTTAGGCGACCCCTGTGAAAGGGTCATTCGACCCCCAAAGGGGTCGTGACCCACAGGTTGAGAACTGCTGACCTATACCTCTCCCCTTCAATAAGAGGACGGGGTAGCTCACAGTAAAAGGCAGGGATGCAGAGGAAACATTAACATGAGAGCCACGATAGGGTGCTGAGAAAGAAATCTAAATTCTTCCTTGGCAGCCAAGGCAAGAAGAGAAACAGAGTGAGCTCAAGCTTATTTTGAAAAGGAATAAGTGCTCAGAGGTATCACCAAGACTCAATAAGGAAGTGTAAACTTCCTTAAGAACTATAAACTTGTTTGCTTTATTTCTAGATCAACCCTCTGAGAAAGGAAGACGAGGGAGTGTACCAGTGCCACTCGGCCAATGCGGTTGGGGAGGCCCAGTCCCACGGCAAGGTGACGGTTAGCGACCTGAGCACGTACAAAGCCCCTCGCTTCCCAGCTCCACACGACCGCATGTGACAGAGTGAGTACATGTTCTAAGTCATTTTTTGTATTTTATACACCTGTGCCCCAAGAGATTGAGATGGTTTATAAAGATGTGCAATAAAAAGAAAAAAAACACACACATAAACGCAGGAAACCAGGATACAAAACAAGAGTAGGAACATACGACAGCAGGTAGAATCTCTAGTGTGTTCTATGCACATATCACTCTGGGCTTCCCACCTACCATGCACGTCAAGAGCTGTGAGCGTTACGGGCACAAGGTAAAGAGGACCGGCGGTTTCTCTCTGTTTCTGAGGCTGAGTGGAGTGTTTCCTGCGGATCCCCCTAGAGAGGCACCGAGACAGCAGACACAGTCATGTGACGGCACCACGTGCCCACAGAGAAGACACATGAGCCTCATCGTCTGTGTCCCGGTTCCTCCGTGTCTCTTAGCAGCACATCTGCAGAGAACCTGCATCTCCCTGGGCCAGGCGGGCCCGAGTCCTCAGAGTCACCCGGGTGAGAGCTGCCCCCCGCCAACAGGTGGGCTGTGAACTTAGAAAACGAATCCCTTATTAGCCAACTTCTGCTGCTTAACAACCCCCAAACCTCGCTGGTTCACAGGCACCAACATGTATCTCCTCCTCACATTCCGTGTCGAGGTGGCAGGTTGGCGTGGCTCCCCGCCATGTGGGGGCCCAGCTGGAGGAGCAGCCCCGCTGTGGAATATGTCCACACTCGTGGCAGAGGGGACGAGCAAGAGGCCAAGCCAAGCGCACAATCTCATTTAAAGTCTCTGCTCGGATTCAACGTTTGTCACATCTGCTTAACTCCGTATCCAGAGCAGGTCACAGGGCCACACCCAGCCTTAGAGGGGTGGGTGGCGTCTGCTCCTCTCACAGGAGGAGGAGGGCAGGGAGGCATGATCTTATTTTTTGTGTGTGTGTGTTTTTAAATATGTTTTTTATTAATTTTTTTTTTTTTTAGAGGGAGAGGGAGAGGGAGAGAGAAACACTGATTGGCTGCCTCCTGCTTGCCCCCTACCAGGGATCTAGCCCACAACTCTGGCATGTACCCTGGCCGGGAATCGAACCAGCAACTTCTAGGTGCATGGGATGACGCTCAACCAACCGAAAGGGAGGCATTATCTTACAGGACCGCAGGAATAGTTGTGAACAGGCACTGTCACCAAGGCCTACTGACAAGTTTTCAATAGCAGGAAAAATTAGAAACAATATGAAAAGCATTAGGCTTTTGCTGTGGTTGTGATGTGTATGATTTAGCCACTATTGTTAGACACTTCCTGTGTACAAGGCCTTATGTCAGGTCTGTAGGGATGCACAGAAAACCAAAAAGTGAATGTCAGGAAACTGCCAGGAGTGCCATTTCCCCCACCTCCCAGGTAGCAGGAAGTTGACTGTGACAGAGCAGGGTTCTGTCCTCTAACTCTTTTCCCTCTTTTCTTCCAGGGTCTCAGAAGCATGATCACAGGATGATGGGAAAGTCAAGTTGTGGGTGGTTTCGCTTTGTGACAAGTTGGAAAACTGTTTGTAGATGACCCCTTTTGTATGTTTTTAAAAACTAGATGCAAACTAGATTCATATGCAGATGTAGTTTTTAGCAGGGCAAACACGGGGAAAATGTCTGGACTGCACGTGGTTTTTTTATACTTTTGAAATGAATTGCTCTGAGAGAATTTTTTTTTTAACTACTCCCTCCCGGGGGAGAGCATGTTGTGGTGTATTTGTAACTCTAAAGGGCTAGACCTGGGGGGGGGGGGGGGGGGTGCGCTGTGACTCTTTACCTCAGTTGTCTGCGGCTGATTGGCGGAGCTCTGTGACTTAGTGTGTGTTGTAGAGCCGAGGAGGAGGGTCCCTCTGTCCTTTGCCTGACCTCTCATTTGCTGTGTGACCTGGACAGGTCCCTTCCCTCTCTGGGCCTTGGACTCTTCACCTGTGAATGTGGCATTTGGACTGGATGTTACCTGTGTCTCTTTGAGACCTGTCATCCTAGAGTATAATGGTATTTCCTCAAAAACAAACACCACTGCTTCACACTAGCAATCCAAAAGCCATCCTCATGCCCTGTCCCATTCACTGCTTCACACTAGGGCAGTGATGGCGAACCTATGACACGCGTGTCAGAGGTGACACACGAACTCATTTTTTTTGGTTGATTTTTCTTTGTTAAATGGCATTTAAATATATAAAATAAATATCAAAAATATAAGTCTTTGTTTTACTATGGTTGCAAATATCAAAAAATTTCTATATGTGACACGGCACCAGAGTTAAGTTAGGGTTTTTCAAAATGCTGACACGCCGAGCTCAAAAGGTTCGCCATCACTGCACTAGGGTGAGGATAGCTGGCTGCAGCTCTTCTATTCCTGCCACTCTCCCATTTTAAAGAAACACTTTACCAGACTCAGGGGCCCCATGGCTGGGCGTTTGGGGACCGAGATATCTACTTGTTCCCAAGCCCAGCATTCTTGAACCAGGTGGGCAGTGGAGACCTGATTCCTAGACATCAGATTGTAAAAACAGGGTCCGATGCTCTCTCTGGGCTGTGGAACGAGAGTGTAATAGAAAGTTTGACTTAGAGGATTTTGATTTCAGCCAGGAATGTGGCTTGCTTTCTATATTTTAAATGAAGAAAGGAAGAAGGAGAATATTTAATGTCTGGGCTAAAAAAAAAAATAGGTATCCTCGGCAATTAAAACTTTTAAAATCGGGATCTCACATGTGGATAGTCCTTGAAGTTCATGAAGCCCTTTTCCTTCTGCAGTCACTTCCCAAGTGCAGGGCAGCAGGGTGCGGGTTAGTGTCCCTGCCCCTCTCCTGAGGAAGAACCGGGCTCTGAGAGCAGAGCAGGTGCCTGGCCCTCCTTGGCGCTCTCTCCACTCCGTGGTGCTGCTTCTCGGGATCATCTCGGAACTCGGTAGGAGAGGCTGCCAGTTCCCCAGGTTTCAGGGACTCTTACCCAGGTTCACCTCAACACTGAAAACGCAACCTCGTGCTGCCCGCGGTGGGCGTGACATCTTGGGGTCCTTTTTGGAATTGCATTTTCTGCCTTTAAGGCTGGCCATTTCACAACTGACATTTGGGGGTGGCAACACCGTGACATGCTACCCAGCAGTAGACGGGCCTGGGAACCCAGACACAGGAGGTCCATGTGGGACTTCACCCCTGCTCACTGTGTGACCCTGAGCAAGTCCCCTTCACTTTCTGCACCTCGGTTTCCTCATTTGAGAAGAGAATGAAACGAGATGGGTGGTTTTCAAACTTTAAGACATTGGAACCCCTTCTTTGAGTAAAATCATAATTAAAACTGATCAAGCTGGAAGCTCTCCTTGTCTGTTGGAGGTTGGAGCTGCTGGGAGACCTGCTCACATCCCCTCCCTACTCAGCACCTCCTAACCTCTCCCACTGACCACCACTCGATTGTACCCGAGGCCTGCAGCTAATTCCTCTTGATTTGAAGGGGTGATAAGACACTCAGGAGGAACAGGGATGCTGAGGCCCTGGAGAAGGTGGTAGAACCGTACTGCTAATAAGCACACTTCACAAAATCAATCGAATCTCCTCAAATTTGCCCGAACAGAACTGGATATAGACCCAGAGAGCAGGGTGGACAGAGCCCTGTGATGAGGGAGCTGAGCATGAAGACTGATGAGGCTGGGTTTACATCATAATTATGTGCAAAAAAATTAATAAATGTTACACTGTCTGAAATTTTCACCAAAACCAAAAAGGTAGAAGAAACATGATTGTCCCAACCTAACGGCTTCTCATTGGTGAGAGCCCTAGGCCTCTGCAGAGGCTGAAGAACGTGTGCTTCCTTTGGAAATATGTTCTCCTAGAACCTGTGTTTTCTACCCTATTTTCATAGATGTGATGATGTCACAGGACCCCTGCACCCTGAAAATAAATGTTTTTAAGGACAGTCTTTGGTCTCTTTGTCCTGGGAATGCTCCTGTGGGTGGCCCAAGGCCCACAGATCCTTCACCATCCCTATGCATCCTGCCCCTTTTTTCCTTGCCTGTATCCTCCTTACCTCTCACCTGGGCTGTAGTCACAGCCCCAACTGAGCACCTTGCTTGCAGTTATTAACCAGTCCTAATCGTCTGCCGCTGGCCTGATTCTTCCAGCTCCCCTGAACTTGGGTCTCCCACTATATGAACATTCTAGTATTTAATCCACTCACTTAGATCTGTCCTCTGCCATCTTCCACATGCATGCAGGCGTGCCATTCTCCATAGGCCAGAAGAATGCAGACACTGACTCTGTGAAGGTGGGAGGGCCCTGGGCCCTGCACTCAGGTGAGACTGACTGGGGACGAGTGGGACAAGGTCACTGTCCTGCCAGGAAGCACAGGTGTCCACTTTGTGATCAGAGTAGGAGATCAGGGAAGACTTCCTGGAAGAGAAGAGGAGGCATCTGAGCTGGGTTTGAGTGGCTGTGGGGGATTCCTGGCTAAGGAGACAGCAGGTGAAAGAAGCAGGGCTAGAGGAGTGCTGCCTCGTTTGTGAATGGGGAGTAGTGACCATTGCAGCTGCTTGGGAGCTGTGGTGGCAGGTGGGGGGACTGGGGCTTAGGCCACACCCCTAAATGCCTCCATAGGAGGTGTGACTTGATGCTGTAAGCAATAGGCAGCCTGGATCTCCGTCTGTCGTCAATTAAGTTATAACTGGGCTTGAGGAAGATCGTTTGAAAGCCAGTGTCCAATCCCAAATGTACCCACTTCCCACCTTAAATGTAAAAAGTCTGATTTTCAGTCAAAATTAATTTTTTTGGTCAGGTTGCATGGTGAATTTAATCCTATGTTTTTAAGAAAACATCACCCTCACCTCTCCCCCAGGGATGGATGACGCAGGTAAAATTAATAAGAATGAGCAAATCAATCGACAGTGAACAGTCTCCTCTAATGAATTTCCTCACTCCCAGCCTTCGCCAGGGCCTCTGGAACATTAAATCAGAGAAAGATTATTATGCGGTATTTTAATTAATTAAGGGAAACTAAAGTGCCCTGGCGTC